CATAATGCAGATGATATGGCGGAAACGGTTCTCATGAATGTGCTTAGAGGCGACATTGCAAGATTACAACGTTGTACTAGTATTGTGACTGGTGAAGAAGGAGATCTTCCTCGTGCGAAGCCGTTAAAGGTGGTTTGTTGTTCGAATTGTGAACCCATAACATACTTTGAAAGCTTCTGACTTTGCCGTAAAATAAGTTTCGTCGTAGGCCATAACTTTCGGCTTCGGCGTTTGTCCCGTATGTGTGCGGAATACTGACTCTTGACGAGAAAAATTCCAGATTAAAGTTTTACTAGCATATTTCTTCTAGGAAATAACACAAAGCTACTTTATAAGATGTTCTAAATGACGAGTGAGTAAATCTTTGCGTGAAGCTTCAAGTGATGGTGATAATTTACAGTACTGCTTCGAGAAAGACATCGTGATGTATGCTCGGTTAAACAAACTGGATTATTTCTATACAGAGTGCATCTATGCTCCCGACTCATATCGTGCATACTCAAGGTGAGCTTATCTATAATTGAAGCTCTTACAGCTATTCGGTATTGTCTGATACTTAAGGAGATTCATCAAGATTGAAAATTGTTGCCAGATTGAATCTCTCACATCTGTCAAAGTAGAGCAGCTCATTTTTTGGACAAACCTTAGCCACTCTGCCCATTTTGCCTTCTTTTAACGTGATATAAGTAGTTATAATTTTGGGAGCGATAGCTGGACGACTGCTTGCTGAAGATGGGTAAATTTGAGAAACTCTGTGTGCAGATAGGCAGCAAAGAATCACCTAAATTTGAGAGATAGATAGCACTTCATACCAGTTCTTTTCAACCAAAGGCGACAATCACGAGTTTGAAAAATGACTGGGGTTAAAGATAGGTTGAACAACATCTGTCACCTCTAATTCCAGCATAGGCAAGAATTTGGTAGCTTTGATTTGACAAACTTGCTTCACACCTCTAACTCTCCTTTACCTCTCTTCGCTCTTCTCTGCTGTAGCATAGATGCTAACCTTCCATTCTCTCAATTGTAAATTATAATCTGAACGTGTTTTTCTTTGCGTTTGCGAAAGGAAGAACCCAATTCAAAAATAACAAGTAGATCACAGAATTCAACAACATGAAGAGAAATCGTTCTTTAGTAACATACTCCATAAATTTCAGATCATTTGTGAAGGATCTAGAGCGAATGAGACCCGAATGTATCTTGGGTTTGATCAAATCGGGAGAGCTTATGATGGTAAAAGAGGAAGTATCTATGCCAACGTTGACTAACTGCACTAGGTCCGTTCACTACTATGTATGAAATCAATGGCTTCAATATTTGAAAAAAAAACATTCAGATGCGGATACATATCAAGCCAAAAAATATGTAAAGCATGTTTGCTACTGGAGGGTTTGAATACTGGTAACACAGATATAGGCGTAAAACGCGTGAGTTCTTCTAAGCAGTACTGCAAACACTAGATATATCCTATTGTTCAGAAGCCGAAAAAGGTGACAGTCGCAGTTGATTCTAGCACGGAACAATCATGTGGTACGTGTAGCTGCGAAAATAACGTAACTGCTGAATTTTGAAGAGTTTTGGAGTTCTTTGTTACTTGTTGATTGTTTTGTTATTTTAAAAATGCAAGCTATAAAAGTATTTTTGCTTTCCCCCTAACCTTTGCCCACACCACAACTTCAAACGTTGGTAATTCATTGCTAACAAATCGTTAAGTAGACGTCACGCGCTATTCTAACTAGTTGGACGTCTGCCGTTGTTGATGTCTGGTGTGTGTTGACAACATGCCGAGGTGAAATCGACCGATCGCACCTAGTGTTCCTTGATCAATGAACAATTTTGAAGCCTTCTTCCATCCAGCCCTTCCCGTTCTACCTTAGTCTTTTCCACGAACAATATGACATGACTGTGTAAATGCAGACAATTACATAGAGGCACCACGATATGGCAAATAGTTGCCATTTACTTAATGAACCAGTCGCTATAGTCGATTTCCAACAAGACAACAAAAACCATTGCAAAAGGGGCGGTGCGGCGCCACCTCTAAGTTTTGTAGGCGCGGGAAAATCGAAATCAGATGTTTCTGCAGCTGGGAGGTAGTATGTAAGTTTTCTAGTTTTTTTT